TTTTGTACCCCATGGTGTTACCAAACGTTTACAAAATGTAAAATAGAAAATGTATAATTAAATATTAAAAATCTGTGTCATTTGTTGTCGCTGAATACCCAGCATGTGGGGTGAACCAAATAGAAAACCTATTGATGATCAATTCGTTTACAAAGTCGTCTCTGTAGAAAGGCTAATTGCTATGGCAACCTTTTTTAAACGATATATCCTTTGAAATATTTCAAAAAAAATATGTGAGAAAACGAAATAGCCTAATCGATATTCAAACAGCTTTAATTTTATAATTTATCAGAAACCATGACAAATTAAACCTCTGGACTGATCAAAGTCACGGCACGGCTAACTCACACATGAACGAACGACGGCTTATCSAGCCGACCGCGAATCAATTGAAAAATTGTCATTGTTTTATTGTTTGTCATTTTAAAACACTGTATTTCGAATTGCTTACCTTGTCGATACAATAGGGGATGGTGGTCGAATTAACTGAATTATGATTGAATTGAATTATGTAAGCATTTTTAAAATGTCTTGAATTTTAATGTTCACTTGAAAAATATATTACTACTCAGCCTCATTATGAAAGCTCAAAGCTACTAAATGAACTGATAAAGTGAATCTTTCATTTAACACATCGCGAGAATTAAGTGGACTGTTTATTTAAAATAGCAGTCATTTTATTTGTTTTCCTTCCTTTATTCTTTCTATTATGTCTATATTATTGAAGTCCTGTTCCTTGTTTTCACACGACGTTTGACGTASTTGATTGCTTCATCAATGTAAGGTCTGTTTTTGACTCATTAACGTTCTGGAGAAGATTCATTACTCGTGTTCAAGGGAGAAAGATTTTATCGTTTTAATAAGTATTAAATCAAGAATGTAGAACTATTTACTCAAGGAAATAGGAGGTCTTTCACAGTTTTAAAGTACGGCTCCTGGTTCTCGGGTAGTCGCAAAATAACACACCTATGGATAGGAGCATACAGCCGAGAAGAGACRACAATACCATTCCTAGTCAGGAATTTGAAAGTATCAAGAAACGAAGGATTGAAAGTCTTCCTCCAATTCTACTGAAAAAGTATTGTCCACAAAGYGAGAGTGTCTTTGAGCGCTCCGAAACCACAGTAATCCCAACACTTCCTTACACAAATTATGAGAAAAAAGGAAAGATCTCATTCAGAGAACACAGACTGGAACGATTCACTCGAGCGGACGARCTACCTCTTGGGCTGGCATTTAAACTAACGAGAGATGTCATTAAAATGGAAAGACGAATAAAAGAAGAATCTATGATGAAGGAAATTAGAAAAAAGAGAAAAGACTACGAGACGCAAAAGAATAAAGCTGTTTCTGACAGGMTCACAAGCATGAATCGAGGGATTTYGGTACGTACKTCGGTATGTACTTCGCACCGCGGCTTCTCGTATTTCCCGCCATTCGACAACAAACATGACAAAGCTGCCAYACTGAAGCATCATGGCGACTTCGAGGCGAAAGTGAACCAGGATCGATTTAGCGTCAATAAAAAGATGGCTTTGGATAAAATGAGGGAATTTGGGCTTCGGCATAAGATCCACGCTAGAGAAAATAGCTGCCGAAACGACCTCGATAACAAAGCATATTATCATCAGTAAATGAACGGTAAAACTAGCCAAAAGTACGATCGACAAAACACACAAAAAAGGAAACTCCTCTCTCTGTTTCTCGGTTTAATGAAAATCAAGTGCTAAACTTACAATCATCTTATTCTGATATCGCTTGACTGTTGTTGAGTTTTTTAGTTAAAAGGCATGTAAAAAATACTTTAGAGTCGTCTCCATGGAGAAWAATAGTAAAGTAAAGAGGGTGGTGTGGGTTGGAAAAAACTCTTGTAACGAAGAAAAGACTGTTGGAAAGTAGGTTCTTGGAAGTAGGTTCTGTGGAAAAAACATTTCAGAGTCGTTCCCATGGAGAATAATAGTAAAGTAAAGAGGGTGGTGAGGGTTGGAAAAAACTCTTGTAACGAAGAAAAGACAGTTGGAAAGTAGCTTCTTGGAATACATGCACCACTAAGGGAAGTACTTTTGGTCACAATCAATGTGAATACTATGAAATTATAYGATAATGAGAGACCGCATCTATCTTCGAAGTATGACTTCTCATTTGGGTTAACAATTAAGGCTAATATTAAAAATGTGATGTTTTTGGGTAGATTCCATAAGATATATGCCTCTGCTGTCCTAGTATTTATCATRACGACCAGCATGAAATGATTATATGGCCGCAGAAATCAAACACATATCAAGTTCTTYCAACTAGAGTAAGCAAGTTCATCACTGAATATTGTATGAAAAACGTCTTCTCTCCAGCCTACCGAAATAGCGTGAGACTGGAGACCAGAGAAGCATTCAATATTGTATAGGATGCATGGGAAGGAGAGAGAGAGAGAGAGAGAGAGAGAGAGAGAGAGAGAGAGAGAGAGGGGGGTGCCTTTGTGCCAGTTAAAAAAAATGTTAAGAGGAAATAGACACAGACAGCAGTAGATATTCTTCAGTCTCTCAACAAAACATATTCAAGAACACATTTATTTAGTTTAGTTAATTATWAATACAATTTTAAAACATGTTGAAATAAAAACAAGCATTGGTCGGTCAAACTTTCTACTGGCATTATTGTTTGTTATGACCTGATGAATTCAMGTTGAGGGCAATAATAGATTCTTTATATATAACACTAGGAAGAAGTACTTTGATGTTGTAAATTGTCTAATTAACAAAGCTGGTTATGAACAGAAAATAATGGACTATTGGCAAAGAATCTCTTAGAAGATTTCACAGATTTCAGTTCAAATGTTTCTTGTCGCCATAGTAGCAGGGTTTTCGCATTTCTTTTTGKATTTTTAAGTGCTTTCAAGATTATATTTATAGCGAGAAGGGATTTGTTGAAGATATGGACTTCATTTTGTGGCGTTTTACAAATTCTCTCTGAATGTTATGTAATTTGTCTTTTACGTTTTTGTAATCACCTTGAGCTTCTAGACAACTGGTGCAATTATCTATCGTTTTTTCGTACTTTTTCTCTACATAAAGACTTTCCTCGAGTTTTTTGTCTCGTTTTTCGTGCTTTAAGCGTTGTCTACTTGTCGGCTGAGGCGAGAGAATCGGCTTGAAGTAAGAATACTTTGCTCGAGTGATATTCTGTGAATGTCGTTCAAAAGCAAGTTCTCGTTGCATCTTGTAGTTCTTGTCCATTGTACACTCCACTTTTCCACCTTTTTTGCCACCGACTTCAATCTGCAAGTAATTAGGGCACTTCTCGTCTATATTTGGGAGCTTCTCTTTCGTAGAATCATTATCATTATCAGTCTTCACTCCAACTTCACAGCTCGCATGAAATTGAACTCGAAGATCTATAACTGGGAGAATGGGAGACGTTTGGTGTTTCATCTCTTTTTTTCCTGTTTTCTTGTTTTTTTCTTTTAAAATCGAAGGCAAGCCTTGCCGTTTTTTGTCCTTGCTCTTTTGCTTCGTATCCTTATTCTTCAGTTTCTCCTCTTGAGGATTACAACATGATTGTACAATTGGAAACATTTCGTTCTTGCCCTTGTACATAGTCATTCACACGTCCCTTTGTCTTTGCGCCTGCTTTTGGCCTTCAATTTAGCATTCTTATTCACCTTGCAGATAACCAAGATAACGTACTAAGATGTCATAAGCAGTTGAGTTTGTTAATTAATAAAATAGCTCGYTCCGTTGGCCAAAGCCAACTGGCTTATCTATCTACCATGTCACTTCTAGATGTAAAAATGACAGCAGATATCTTAGTCCTGACAGAATTGAAATAAAAATCTGGACAAGAAATTATCAAGGATCTTCACTGCAAATAGTAATGTGTAACGGAGTGACGGAGACTTACTTATTACAAACACAGCACTCTTACTGACACACCTGCCGCTCTGAAGATGCCAGTTGCCGGCAAGATTGGAATTAGTGTGTTCAGGTAAAATAAAGTACTCCCATTGCTAAATTTAAGCCGTTATTTTGATAACAATTTATAATTAATTAACGGTTGGCTGTAATTCAGTCCAGTTAACGGAAAGAAGCAAATGTAATGACATCATGATTWATTGATATAAACTAGTTTATACGCATTCATCGAAATCATTAAAAATTTAAATCCTTTTCGCCTTTTTATTTCTATTTTTTATGGAATGATCCTATTGGTTAATTTTTGAATGACGAATTGAATGACGTTGCCTTTAAAGTTCCGCGTCTTATGTGAAATGATCCTATTGGTCAATCTTCAATGACGTCACTACTTTTAGTTCTGCCTTAAATGGAGTGATGCTATTGGTCAATCCTCAATGATGACACCATTTTGATTTTGCCTTATATGGCGGAGTGATGCTATTGGTCAATCTTCAATGATGTCACCATTTTTGTGTTGCTTTATATATATGGAGCGATGCTATTGGTCAGATACTCAGCTACCTTCCAGCGGCGCAAGGCAGGCTTAGGAAGATAAAGATAATACGATAGCTAGATCTCAAATCTGTTCGGTCCAAGGGGTCCATGCGAACACCAAGGGATTATATCAGAAATTATATATGAAAATGGACTCGTAGTGATAAGTACGCTAGTTTAAAGGATAGAATTGAAGGAAAGACGAGGMAAAAAGAAAGATACAAAAGAAATGAATGAGATGTGTCGCTATGTGGTCTGTGGTCATACGGCGCCTCAGCCTCTGTGGATGTCTCGGGGGTATAATTTTGATATMAATATTTTGGGATCAGTTAACACAATTTTAGGTTCTAATCGTTAATGAGAGATCTTTTCGTCTTGTTTATTTCAAGTTTTACTCATGTCATTATACTTGTGTTATTCTCATTTTTTCATGCAAACTATTTTTGTGAAAATAGCTAGGCGTTTTTCAGTAATTTCCGAGTCGAGAAGCCATGGCGGCCTTGTTGGATGTCAGTTAAATCAACAAATAGGCATCAGTTTTTTATGTGTCTGTCCACTTATTGACGATAAATTGCGTCATCAAATTGTCCAAGTAGTGTGGATCCACGAGGCGTAGTCGAGAAATTTGTAAGTTATCGTAAAAAGAGAATTATAATGAGAAATCTTCAATAAATACCACCAATATGGCCGCCATGACGTAACGTGCAACCGCCAATCTATGGGTAAGAAATTATAGGGGCTTAACGACAAAACTGTTCTATRGTCAGCAGTTGTTTTGGCATGTTGCTGCACATTCCAAACCAAAGACGTGAACAGAATAATAATTAATTGGAACTCTAGCCGCGGTTTTCGTACTGCTAATTGCCTAAAGAAAGAAGGCTTCTGTTGATTCGTACGGTCCATGCGAACATAGAGATACGCAAGCTCGATGTCCAACAATTGACTAAATGGTGGTTTCGTTGCATTCCCGATCTCCTATACGGGGGGTGGCTTAGGTCAACCGCGACCCCACAGCAGGACCTAGCTGGAACTAAGAGCGCAGAGATATGCTATATTTTATTGTTTTGCTTTGAGAGACGGGCATGACATATATATTTTAATAAGTATTAATTAACTATTGACCGCGCCGYGCCAAATCGACGTAAATAGAGAGTAATATCAAGAGATGATGAGGTCGACCGTGGACAAAAAATACACGAAAATGGAAGAAACGGAAAAAGGAAAGGAAAGGGAAAAGAGAGAGAGAGAAAAAGCCCCAGGAACAATTGAGAACAGAATGGAAAATATTACAATGAAATATAAATGTTTTCAAATTTCAAAGGTTTTTGCAAAAAACTATACAAAACATATCATACCGACCTTACTTTTAACTCATCATAAAAAGGCAAAGACAAAGAAAATTATTTTTCGAATAGAAAACTAAAGAGCTCAAAAGCTATTAAACAGCTAAACAAACGTTTTGAAAATCTGTGAATATTAAACCAGCCCTGAACTTACTTGTACAAACACACAATACTACACCATTTGAATTCTAAATAAATATTTCTGTTCTCCTTAGTCTTTAAGATGATTCTCTGAAGTTTTCACCGCTATTATTCTTGTTTATGTTGATACTCAAATGGCATTAGCGTATCTWAACCCTATGGCAGGTACCTGTTGGTACTCATTATATACACACCACAAACTTGGCTGAAGTTTGACATGTTTAGGCAATAGACGCCATGGCATATCTACTACGTATTTGTCCAACTTTCATGTCTCTTAATGGACTCCGACTTTAAGATTTCACTCCTGAACGGTTTTTTGACAAATACATTTGCTTATAAAGGGTTTTCAAAACTGCAGAAATTTTGAAGACACGAAAATGTCCGGTTCAAAGGAAAATCTTCTTCAAAACAGTCACTTATCGACAAGTAAGGAATCTCTCGATGGACACTACAATGGTACAAACTCGCACCAAACGAAACCAGTAAAACAAGGCAAAACTCAAGGAATGGAGAACAAAGGGTTTGAGGATGATCACAGAGGGCTGGAGCCTAGTTTTTCGAACGAAATATACTTTTCTCACGAGCCGGCTCATAGTTATCAAAAAAGAGCAACATCATTACAGCAGCGGCCGATGGCTCCCCTGCCTTCGAAGGAGCCTCGCCGACACAGCTCTCCGGATCACAGTGACCATCTTCGCCAAGACAGAAGTAGAACAAGGCATGGTGGTGGTAGACGGCGACTTTCGAGTAACATTGAAGAAGATTTAAGAAGAAAAGCTTGTCTTAATAGTATGAAAAGATATCAGAGCGCAAATCCCCTTCCAACTAGTGGGCAAGAGGCCGAATATTCTTATTGTTACTCTACTACACAAGACAAGGGAAGGCAATCAGGAGATAAGATACAAAACTTAGACGAAGAAAGAAGATTGGAAAGACCTTCGATGCATCATGATACGAGAAAAGAAAGAGAAGCTCCTCTTCGATTTGGCTCGTCGCACCAACAGGATAATGAGGTCCAAAATATGCAGCAAACAATCATAACCTTGGAGAGGAATCAACTAGAGCAGTACAAGAAAAGGCTTACTTTAGCTCTTAGCGAAAGAGCAAAACTCGCCGGAGAACTCCAGATGCTGAGTCAAAGTTTAACTGCAAGAGAAATGGAAAGTGATCGACATTCGAGCGAATCCATCTCTTTAGGGTYGAGTCTTGGACGTAGTCCTTCATCAGCGAGAAGCTCAAGGCTTTCTCACAGCTTGGGAGATCTAAGAATTCCTGAGATGTACGGTGATTATGGTGATATAAGTGTTGATTATGAAGACAGTTTACGCCTTCCTCCCGTACCCGGCTCCGCCAAGTCCAGTAGACAAAAAATGGAAATTCCAGAACTGGATCTGAGGAGTTTGAATTCCTCATTTGAAAGAATTTCTTCAGATCATATAGAAAATCTTCCCAAAGGAAAAGGGTTTGAAAAGAATAAAGACCCTCTTTCCGTTGAGGAAGGTAATGAAGGCAACAATAAAAATCAAGTAGTAAAAGAAGATTTAAAAAAGATGGTGGATGATATCTGGCAAGATAATTTGAAAGGAGACGTGTTGGCGGAGGAGAGAAGGAAAGTAAAGACGGAAGATAAAATCCTAGATGAAAATACCAGGGATTCTGATATAAATAACAATGAAAAAGCTACGAAAAAACRTCTGACTGTAGAGGACTTCTTATCTAACGAAGACTCAAAGGAACGACCCAGTGATGAAAAAGAGAAAATCCAAGAGAAAAAGTTGAATGTTTTACTTGGTAATGAAGATATGAATGACGAATCGAGCGGAATATCCCCTGAGCTATACGAACCTGTTGAATGCCTTTATAGACCTCAGTTAACGCAAGCGAATGATAAGGAACAACAGCACAAAAACCAAATAAACCACGACCATGACGAAGGACTGCTACGGCACAAAGTCGATAACGAAAAGAGCGGTCAAAATGAAGGTAATTTAGAGGACTATTTTACAGCTTCTACTTTACCTGTCGGTAAAAAGGAGAATAGAAAAGAAGACGGTGATGATGTACATGGGAGAAAAGCAGAGACGAACGCAAAGTCCTTGCGCGAGGAACCGACTTTAAATGAGAACCAACTACCAGCACGCATGACAAGAATCGGGAGAAACGATAGGCGGTTTAACTACATGATACCTCCTGGAGCAAGAACTAATGTTGCTACGAATTCTGGGAACAAAAATAATTATTTAGGAAAAAAAGAAACAGAGAAAGCGATAGAAAGAGAAGTACAAAGGGTCCCCTCCAACATTTCTGACAAGCTACGATATTATAGAGAAAAATTATCCAATCCCGTGGAAGAAGAGTCGTCACGTGACTTAGCGGACGCGTATGCACATGAAAAGGACCCGGAAAAAAGGCGGGAAATCCAACAACAAGCTGCGAGTGAAGCGGCCATTTTGAGAAGAGAAGCCTCGGCTTTACTTTTTGAAGCAAYGAACTTGGAAAGAATTTGTGACCCGAATGGACGAGTTAGACACGTGTATTTACCACAATAGATTGCATTTTTGTCTAAATTGTTAAAATAAATCCAAGAACTGTTTTTGTAAGGTGATGTCTATAAAGTAAAAGGATAAATGAACGCATTGATGACATCAATTTTGATGAAATTTATGAATTTTTTGAAAAGAAAAAAGTTTGTTAATCGACGTTACGTGATTATGTAATGTAACCTATGAGGTCTTATGACTTACTGTAACTGGTAATTCCAGTAATAAGAAAATCTAAAATATCAAGAGAAAATTAACTAAGAGAAGGAATTCCCGCTCCATATATATCAAACACTCTTTGATGCTATTTTTAGTTGAAATCATTGATTCTATTTTTAGGAACATATGCAAAAAATAGCATCAGACGGTGGTTACAAACACGAATACCAGAGATTCCTTCTCTTGGTTCATTTTCTCTTGTGTATATTCAATATATTTAATACTTGAAATTATTAATTAAAGTGCATATGAACCCTTCGACAATACTTTCAGTACTGATTCTACA